CAAATTCACTGCATTTTCGCATTCAATCCCTTCACACAAAACACTTTTATTTTGTGACAAAAAACACTGCATTTTGTCTAAACTTTGACACAAATGCCTTAAATCTCACAACTTTCTTAATCCACAACTCATTAATTTTATTAATTGTATTGAAAATATGATTTTTTTATTAACACATGAAACCTACAACTGAATGAAATAATGACTTCTTGTTTACAATATTTTGCGCCTAAAACTAAACCAACGGATAAAATGATGTTTAAAACAATACCTGTTTTCATTCAATTCAATACACGGACTACTGGCGCCCTAACAATAAGTTTCTTATTAAAGGTATTCAAAACTTTTAGGCAAAATAACATACCGTACTATGAATTAGTTTTGTAAATCATAATTATGTTATTTCATTTTAATTGTTAAAAAAATATATTCAATAATAAAATCTTTAGGTTGCTATTGTATAATAGTTTAACAATATTTTATTATAATACTTTATTAACAATAGTTTAGCACAAGTATGACCTCCCTGTGCGCTAACAAACACCACACCTGTGCGTAACATTTCTGATGACATCTTATAATTATGTTTATATCAAACAAATTTGAATAAAAAACTTTTTTCAATACAAAAAACATTTGCTTCGATAGACACGTAAACTAACGGCACAAATGTGTTGCAAAACTGTACAAAAAGTTTTCAAAAGTATTTTAATATTAATAAAATATTACACAAAATGATTTACACGTCGACTATTTTGCTACTTATAATGAGCACCGGTACCTCACTGGGAACCTCGCTAACTGGCCGTAAGTATATAACTTTCTAATGATATATCACACAAACTATACAGTATATTACAACGTGTTTGCTATGCATGAGCCACAGGTCTGGCGGAGTTGGCCCACGAGTTCGGCCCTAAAGGTGTCGAAGTGGTCGAGCAGTTGGTATCCCTGGCCGGTGGCCAACAGGAGTTTGAATCCCTACTACCGTTCCCACTGCCAGACA